TGTATCCCAATAAAAAATAACTGAACTCTTAAGTTAAACTAATTCGCTTATGTACCTGATTTAATAACTCCATAAGAATACGTTGAACTTCCCTGTCAGCTCCAGTTTGAGCAACACAACATGTTACAGCCATAGCATCAACCACATTCATAAATATAAATGCAGAGGTGCTCTCCTTAGCAAGACGAAAAACCTACTGAAGCACATTTGGGCCCTGAATTAACCAAAGACGTTATGGTATCCGAGTTGAGATATGCGAGGAAAGCAAGTACTAGATCATGGGTGCTTGCAAAAGTTATCAAAGACTAAAAACTCTTTCTGAAAATCAAGGCATGCGAAATAAAGAAGATGAAAATGCTGATCCAAAGGATGAAAGTTTATCTGTAAATAATCCCCAAAGCCATGAATCTTATACCCACAGTACTGACCATCATATCTGCTTCATTCCTACAAAGGAGAAAGGGAATCACTGATGAAAAATACATAAGGTAGCCAACAAACCTGTTTCAGGTTGCTTAACAATGAGGAATATTTTCGTAGGATTATGAAAGAAGAAGAAAAAAAAAGGAAATTGTGATGGAGATGTAAGAAATGAAACAGAAATGTTTTGCATGTGCACAGTATGAACTAACACTTCTAATAGTCCCTCCGACAAAATAATCTTCTGAAACAATCCGTGTTATCAGGAGCACTTTAAAGAGCATAACCACGATTATCAGGAAGTACTAACTCTCATAAGTTTATATCGAACATGTAAACATGATGCTGTTTCGGTCACATAAACAAATATATCTGAAATATGACAGAGTTCAGCCAACCCACAATAATAATATCATAATCTCCCGATTGATCATTGACAAAATTGCTACTTTAGCAAGAAAAAAAATCTATACAGAAAATACATCTCCATCATTTCAGAAATATCATCTCAACAGAAAGGATGTGCATTCCTGAAAAACCCGAAATTTCAAATAATAATAATAATAATAATAATAAGACCTCTAAAGTTTTTTAATGTCATACTGACAAAATCTTACAACAGAAATAATACCAATTCAGTTAACAATATGCACAATGGAAAGATTATCAATGCACCGAACAGACATTACAGTTTTACTGAAAAGGGAGAGTTATATTGAAAGCTCTTGACAACATTATTCTCAATAAAACTCCCATCAGCACAACTCTGCATGCCTCCTTTTGCACTTTCAAGGGCAATTTTATAAGCGGATAAAAAAAATAAGGGTGTGTTTGGCAACAAGTTAAAATTGGGGTCCAATTTTAACTTGTTTTTTGTTTGTTAAATTTTCAGGCTAGAGCTGACCTAATTTTTTTAGCCTAAGTAGTACAACTAAACCAGTTTTCTTTTGGGCCAAGGGGAGTCTGGTCCAAAAGAAAACTAGTTTAGTACAAAACTAGGCCAGGACCAATCAATGCCCAGTTTTGTTCACTTTGCCAAACACACCCTAAGTGTCATGTCCAAAATCTCAACAAGCTGTTACATCATCCACTATTAATTATTTGTTGATAAACTGGATCCCTAGTGGGATTTACCGTATTCAACTGGGAAGAAGCCGTCGGTCCAACTAGGGAGGAATTTTTTTGGTCATTTGCATATATACCCTTTACATCATGAGTACTTGCAAAAGCACCCCCTCAAATCATCAACTTTGCTAAAAGATACCCCTAAATTAAGTCAACAAGTTATCATCTTGGTGATAATTTTTGCCTTGTGATTACAAATTAGTTTATCAAAGTTGATGATTAATTGCTTTGGGTATATTTTTTTCAAAATTGATGATTTAAGGGATAGTTTTGCAATTACTGAGTTTTAATGGTATGTTTTGCAAATTTTCATGATTTAAAGGGTATATATACAATAACCTTTTTATTTTCAATTTTGTTTAATTTCAATAATCCTCCCTCGAATCTTCAATAATCCCATATCAGTCACTCAAATATCTGAAATTGCTCATATGACCAAAACACCCCTCAGAGTTTTTTTTTTAATTTAGTAAAGATGTGGTTTGACCATTGATTTGAATTGCAAGACCCCTTAGAATCTTTCAAGGACGTACAAGCAATTCTGAAGAATTGAAGACCTAATATGTAATTGTTGAAAATTATATATGTTATACCCCTAAAAATATACTAAATATTAATCTCAACAGAGCAGTTGACATGTGTCTTACACAATACATAACCTGACTAATTCAAGACCAAGATAATCTCCGCCCCAACTTGGCGCACTGTTCAGCCAACATCTCACGTAGCCAAATCAAAAGGTGATACTACTCGGCCAACCCCTCAATTGATTCCACAAGCGACCCGACTCGGCCCATTGTTCAGCCGACATCTCGCATAACCGAGTCAAAAGACGGTACTTGTCGTCCAACACAACCGATCGCCCCCTGCGAATAACATCACTCAGCCCGTTATATCATCCATCAACATGCATAGCCGACTATCAGCTGGACGACTAAAAAGGTGGTAGTTTTCTCGAACGTTACGCCGACAGCCGCCTGCCCTTGCATTAACTGCTCTTACAAAGTGATTATTATTCCAGTCCACAAAGTCTTTATGACTTATCAGACTTCGTCAGCACCAAGCAACTGTTGTCGCTTAGCACTAATCACCTGGATGGTCTGTCTTCGCCGGTGACTGACACCTATCAGCTGTCTGTTCACTCACCTGCCTAGCTGGACTCAGCCCAAGTTACATTCTTACCCCTCAGATCCACTATAAAAAGAGCAGCAGTGCATGAGATAACCCTCTCTGACCTTTTTACACAATTAAGAGCTAACTCTATATTTCCCACTCAAGATCATCTACTAACTTGATCGTCGGAGGAACAAGCGGTCTTACGAGTTCTTTCGTGTGCAGGGAAGAACAACATGCCCCAGAACTATTCATCAGGAGGAGTTAGAGGACCCTAATCACTCCACAAACTCTCAGATAACCCCTTGTTTAATAGCTGATGTCAACGATATATTATCGTGATTAATTTCCATAACATATAAAAAAATCATAAATTATCACGATTACTTGCTAATTTTTTTAGACATCCATATTGTAGAAATTCCTAGCTCTGCCACTGATATGAGGGGGTAAGTTTAGCATGTAGTTGAGTTCCTGCTGCACCTTATTCATTTCCATCCATTCAGATTAGAACTAATACTGAATCAATGATCCCAAAACTAGTATTTTATTGATGTATAGACCGTACTATTAAAACCAGAAGAATGATTATTTGTTGACCATATTTATAGAGAAGACAATGAGAATTGAGTAAATAAACCTGAGATCAGACGGTGGGTGGCTCTGGCGTTTATCCCCGGGCTGGGAAATGTGTGGTCAAAGCATTCTGATGAACTTGATACCAAAACATAACAAGAACAAATTGAAGGGTTAATTAGGTGTTAGGCCCTCAATTTCTATGTGATTCCGTATTATTCCCTCAAATCTTTGAAGCTGCTAACTAGTCCCTCGTACCCTAGTGGTCGTGCAACTTGGTTCCTCAACAAAATACACTCGACCGATATTTTGGTAGTCCGAGGGATCAAATCGCAAGACCGTTTAGGATTTGAGGGGCTAATGGGCAATTTGAAAGGTTTGAGGGACTAATATGGAACCGTTGATGATTTGAGGTACTAAAATGGAATTAATGAAGATTTGAGGGGTTACAATATAAATAACCCCAAACATATAAATACGGATATATAGTGAAACATCCGAGTTTCGAAATATCCGAATATATGTTGGTCACGCGGTTGCAATAGTTTTAGAGCTTTGCTACAGTGACCCAAAATATGAGACCAATAGAGAGGACAAGTGATTTGTCCCCCTCTTATTGGATAATGAGTTGGTCATCATTAATGATGGTCAACTCATTATCCAATAGGAGGGGGACACCTCACTTGTCCTCCCTATTGATCCCATATTTTGGGTCATTGAAGAATTTTTCATAGTTTAATCATTAGAATTAGACTAATGAATTTAATGTTAATTTTGATGATCAAGATATCTAATCTTAGGGTTTTCAGATGTAATAAACATATTAATGAACTCTTTTGTATCGTATGAACTATGTTTACTCCAATATTATACAAATTTTTGTTGGGATTTTGTCTTTGATTCTCTGTGTAACTTCATGAGAATTAGATAGGGTTAGAGTTCTATCATGATTACGAGTTTGAGTTCTATCATGATTAGGAGTTTAAGTGTTATCATGATTAGGAGTTTGAATCCTATTCTAATTAGGAAGTTAGGCTAGAGATAGAGTTTTGGTTTCCCTATATATATATATATATATTCTTTTATTGGTGGAGGAAAAACTATGAAGAAAAAAAGTAGAGATGTAGTAAAGAGAGAGCCAATATTCTTGTAATCTAAGGTTAGCAGAGGGCGTAGCCTGATTCAAGAATATTGTGTGAGAGGCAAAGATTTCGTGGTCTTTATCCGTGCAAAAGATTACAAGGAGTGGGCTTTGGAGAGAATATGAGAGTTGATTATGTATATGAGGTTGAGAGATTGAGAGACGAGAGTTGAGTGGTTCCTCTTGTAGTTCTCCCTGATACATAGTGAATTTCTCGTATTGTTGCCCCGTGGACGTAGGTCGAAGTTGGTCGACCGAACCACGTAAATCTCGGTGTTCTTTTTCTTGATTGTGGTTATTCTATCTTATTGATTGGGGTTGGTTTCCGAGTTGCGCATATCGTGGTAGGCGGGGAGACTGAAATTCGCCAACAATTTTCTCATATCTGTTTTTGCATCCGCATGTATATCTGCATATATATATATATGCACATGTATATTTGTATCCTCATCTGATTTTAGCAGATATGGATATGAGTTTTTCTTATCGAGGCATATCTGTATCCGTGATTGGCAAGTAGATATGTATATTTAAAGTATCATATTTGAGTCGTATCTGAACCGAATACACTCTTAAATGCAACTACCGGTTGGTTTTGCAAGGGTTGTCTGGATGTTTGGAGAAAAGTTGTATATGTATATCACCAAACGGAATATCGTCATCTCTCATCATTTTCCATTTGGGCCTTTACATTGTTTGGTTCGGATTCCATTGTGAATCGGATTCCATTGTGAATCCTAATATGGTAGTATTACTTTGTTTAGGTTGTATCATGTAATCTTGAAAAGTGACAATTATGTGGACCCATTCAAGATATTCATCTTACCTTCATAAAAATACAAAAGAATCCCAAACAACTCAATTGATCTCTTAACATATATGTAAAACAAGAAATTAATAGCATAGTCAACTGATATATAAGGGTTAATTTTAGAAAAACCTCTCTAAAGTGCATCTTAGAAAACCCCTTTAACCATTTTAATTTGAGGGAAACGTTGTAAAATTTGGGCATACTATAGATAACACCCTTCAACTTTGAAAATACTCTTTAATCATTGATAACCCCTTTAATCATTGATCGTTAACACTTTTTTCTCACCAAATCCTTTTAAAGTTATGATTTCAAAATATAAAATAGATGAAATACTCTTTCGGGAATCAACCAATTTCAGTTATGAATCTTCAAACTAGTAATTAAAAAAAAAAGATTCTTTTGCTTACATAGTAATAAATCGTGGTAGGATGCAGAATACTTGATTTAATCTGGATTAAACATAAAATGGAATCACAAACTTTGACAATCTAATCATGGCACATAAAATACCCATCTCGAAAAAATTATTAGCTAGGGAATTGATACACCAGGTAACATCTATAACCACCTTCACCCTCTCAAGAACACCGCCTCCATAAAACTCTCCAACCGCCTACTCTCTCCTCAATAGTAGAGTTTGTTGAGTGGTGGGTGAGATATTAATTTCCACAACTTAATCTAATAAATTTGGTTTACTAGATCAAATTTTAACTTGCAATATTTAGATTCTTCACCGCATTGACACAGCAGAGTCTAGTAGAGTTGGTAAGCTGTCTACGAGTACTAAGGTCTCAGGTTTGGGGATGATGGCTGAGGATTTTGAGAGAGCAGGCGGGTTGACATGTTTGTCGTCGTTCGCGGTAGTATCGGATGCGCGGCTGATAAGCCTGAAGACTAGCTTTCCAAGTTTCAGCTTTTTGCTACGCTTCAAGCTGTAGGATGTTTGTGAGGCACAAAGAGTTCATTCCTCATGTTACGGAGTCTGTTTTTTTTTTTTTTTTAATTGAAGGAATTTAATTGATTATAATGCCCTTCATGAAGGAAAAAATTGGTCCTCAAATTAGACTAGTTTTCAGGCTTTTTAACGTTGTTGTTTCAAATCTTTAGATGGGCGACGAAGCCGATTGCGGAACAAATTTAAGTTGTAGGGGATGCGCACAATAAGTTTTAAATGACTAAAATTATAATGAGCGATTCAAACAATCAATGCATAGAATAACCTAACACGTTCACAAAATGTACAGATGCCTTCCCGAGCGTAAAATAACATCTTATACAACATAAAAATACAGCAATCAATACGTACACCCACAAGCAACCATCCCGAAACATCTTGAAGAACTGAAGGCGAATTTATATATGAACAAAATGTTATGCCCATGCTCGTAACGGATAGATCTACATATGATTTCTTTATTTTATATTTGTTTCTTCTTCGGTGATGTCCGTACTTCTAAATTCAATATTATACTGAAAAATGAAAGTCGCGTAAACTAGGTAAAACCACCGTGACTTGCAAGAAAGGCATAAGCACATAATTAAGAGCATATACTACCCACCAATAAAAGAAAGAATAAAAGCAAAACCTTAAATTACATGATCATCACAAAAGAGAGCTTTAAGAAACTAACTGATGACAATGAATCACACACACAAACATAGTTCCAGATCCTTCAGATTACAAGTTAATATGGTTCTGTTGTCGTACAGTTTCATACTTTTGGTGATAAAAGGATTCCGGTGCTAAACGAAACAAAGCATGTCCAAGAACATAACGATAAAGATTTTGGAAGCATGGGCACTGGAGAAGGTTAAAGACACATTGGAAATTTGAAAAATAGATTTAACTCTAACAAAGTTCAGACGCCCAGCTTCTGTTTCCTTGATTAATCAGAGAACCGATGACATTTGGATCAGGTCGATGTATGAATAAACAGCGGTGGTGCATAAATAGACCCCTGAAGCCTCTTCACTTGTAGAAATCAAAGTCTGTGTCCGGCTTCTTGACATTCGTCCTGTAACCCTTCTCGAAATCCTTGGGAAGGATAACATATCGGTTCTTTCGGACAGCGTGCATCCCAGCTTCCTGACATATAGCTGAAATCTGTAGAAATAGTTCAAAAAGAAGTAAGTTGCAAACTCCGAGAACATATCAAAGAACGATGTATAAAGAACATTAAGCAAGGACAAAGGTAGAAACTAGCTATCAGTATGGATAGAGCCGCTGTAGTATCGATGTTTTGCACTTACTATCCTCGTAGTTTCATTGTTGCAGATAGACCCTATGGGTTAACATTTTTTTCAACTCTTATACCCCTTTAAAGCTTTGACAGATATTGACCTTGGGAGAAATTAGTTGGTCTATCTAAGGGTATAATAAGTCAAAAAGAAACCAGGCTCTATGTGCAATTAAACCAATACTAATAAGTAACAAATTGCTAATTCAAACAAGAAAAAACTGCACACAGGAGACAAAACAAACATGCTTCATTATCCAGTTCTAATGCCCTTTCATGATGCTGATAACTCGAACAATTACAAGAGACAAAATGCTAGAACTAGAAGCATTAAGGCTACAGAAAAGATCGATAACGGAACCCAATTTCCTCATCAGGCTTGAAATAGATAAGAAAAATATTGCAATAAATATAGAAATTTATACACAAAACCAAATTGTGAGAGGCAAAAGCCTATGTAGCACGGACACGGATCCGACACGGTCATCCGACACGTCGACACGAGGCAAATCCTAAAAAATACCTATGTAGCACGGACACGGATCCGACACGGTCATCCGACACGTCGACACGAGGCAAATCCTAAAAAATACATAGGATACGTGTGTTCGACACGTGTGTCCGACACGGACACGACACGACACGACTTCATATTATGCGTGTCCGTGCTTCATAGGCAAAAGCAACTAACCTCTGCAGCGCTAATTTTATCTGGTCGAGAGACATAATCTTCCAAATCTACCTCATCACTCAGATTCATTTTAGCTGTGCATACCTGAAAATAGACAGTCATAAATCATAAGGTGCATCATCCAGCTAATTCTTTACATTTAACACAATTAGCAATCACCCAAGCAGCAAGGCGTATAAAAAGCAAACAAAATAAAACTAAACCATTTGCAAGTAGTAACAACATGAGTGCTAGAAAATTAGCAATAAACAATAAAACAAAGTAGAACAAAAAATTTGCCTTGAAACAAGTCATTTAGATACAACGAATGTAACTTGTCACAAGGCTATTTAGAACCTTACAATGCTGACCTAAAAATTGTTGGCATGGGATGGGATTCAGTACAGAATCTCCTAAAGCATAATGATGAGTATATGGACTTACATGTAAGGAACCATCACTTAGGCAAACTATTGGTAATCAAATAAAGCAGAACCTTGATGGCCTCATGAAAACAAACTGTTGGTTGTGAAAAATTGTCGACGCTTTCAAGGACAGAATGTTCACGATAAAAGTTCATGAAGACTAAAGGTAAATCAAAGGCTACCAACACTTGAAAGGAACGCAATGTTCACGATAAAAGTTCATGAAGACTAAAGGTAAATCAAAGGCTACCAACACTTGAAAGGAACGCAATGTTCACGATAAAAGTTCATGAAGACTAAAGGTAAATCAAAGGCTACCAACACTTGAAAGGAACGCAAAAGGTACGTCGAGATAAAAATAGACTTGCATGTTTCTCGAACTATTTACGTACATATTACTTGGTAACAAAAATTGTTCCAAGTGAAATATGTTCCTGTAAAAATTCACATTTAGGACAGAACGGTTACGCTAAGAAGCATGAGCAAAGATTCACGGTAGAGACATACCAATGGTGACACAACATGAGGTCTTGTCCCAACAAGGTACATCAAAAGGATAAGTCACGATAAGGTGACTGATGAGAGTTAAGGTAAGTGAACTGATATAACAATTAGAAAGAGACACCGACTTTTTAAGAAAACCATAAGACTAAAACAACAGCACATTGTCATGCAAATTATAATCTTATAAATCAGAAAAGGTGTTCTTTAGAACAATGATTGATACTGAAGGACAGTGAGAAACCTTCTGTAAATGTTTATTATTACATATCTGGAGGACAGTGAGAAACAACATTTCCAATCAGACTTTATACACAAAGTTATAAATGAAAAAGAAGAATATTCTAAAGTTTAGTAACCACCATTTATCTGTGTGACATCAACTGTGAAATTAATAATCGCACGTAAAGTATAGCATGTCAGAATCTACCCACGAAAACGAGCAAATGAAAAGAAGATAATAAGCAGCACAAAATTTTTATTTTTAGGAAAATGCCGAAGGAAGTTGGTGTAAAAATAGCATTTGATAAGATCAAACAGTGCACACAAACAAATTTGTTTTGTATTCTCATTGTAATTTAATGGATAAAATTTAACATGAATCATATAAAGATGCAGTTACCATTTCTAGAAGAACTACTATCGCCAAGAAGCAGAAACCCTTCTATTCCAAACCAGTGTAATGCATCTCGAACAAGTACTGGGTATGACAATTCTTTTCGTGTAATTGTTATTATTTTCAGAGGAAGTTAGTAATGAGAGAAGTCAGTGTTTTTAGGGGAACTACAACAGAGAAGCAATCACACAAGGAATCACAAACACTTCTATTCCAAAAATGTCTTGTCGAACCCGTGTTAGGCATGACACTTATTGCCGTGTCATTGTCTTCATGTACCTTCAGAACTTACCCTGTTATCAATGTGACATGTCATGTTCTCTTAGTGTAAGGTTATTTGTGTCAGTGCAACATAAAGGACTGCAGATCATTAGGCAACTGCCGAGGGACGACATATGTAGTAGCATGTAATCAAAATGCTAAACAAATGCAGTGTCTATACAGGCAGATTTTATTTGTATCTTCACTGCACTTACACTGACGCAACGCAAGTAGTCTTATACAAAGGCAAGCAGGCACTTCTCCACTAAAAACAATAGGAATAAGCACGCTTAACGAACTCACCTGGAAGACCAGCCTTTTCTGTCGACGGTCGGGCAAAGGGAATTCAATCTTTCTATCAAGTCTACCAGGACGCAGAAGGGCAGGGTCTAGAGTATCTGCTCTATTAGTTGCCATAATGACTTTGACATTCACCGTTTGGTCAAACCCATCCATCTGCAAAAGAAACAATTATAAGTACTGATGCTTTGAGACATGAATATTTGGAACATGCATTGGTAAACAGGACCATGTTTTAGATTGGTAAAAATATTTTTAGAATACAAGGTCCCAAATAAAACAGGCCTATCTATCATCAGCTCCAAAGGAATACAAATTATCTCACTTAAAAACAGCAAGGAAAAGAAAGGCAAAAAGAAAGAACTAAGAGAAAAGAATTCGCCTAGAACTCGATAAATAATTGTGCATGGAAAAATAACAATGTTCCCAGACTGTTTATCGTAATTTATTCCACCCATAAAGTTACCCCAAGAATCCCTTCAATCAAACAATTTAACTTCTAAAACTGCAAGGAGCTTCCTATGAAAATCCTTCACTTAGATTTATTCAGCTACACTGTATCACAATAAAAAATAACAGACCTTTAAATTAAATTAACTTGCTGATTGGTACCTGATTTAATAATTCCATAAGAATACGCTGAACTTCCCTATCAGCGCCAGTTTGAGCATCAAAACGTGCTGTGGCAATAGCATCAACCTCATCAATAAATATAATTGCAGGGGCATTCTCCTTAGCAAGACGAAAAACATCCCGAACCATCCTAGGCCCCTGCATTAAACCAAGAAATTATGGTATTTGAGTTGATATATGCCAGTATAGCAAATATTAGAACATGGATGCTTGCGTGGACAGTCCTCCAATACTAAAACTCTTTACGGAGATCAAGAGATACGAAATACACAAGACGAAAATGTTGGCAATAGAATGAAATATTATCTGTAAACAATCCCAAGTTCAGGAACATGCTAAGCATGACTACAGCTGTATACACAAGAGGATATTGTGTTTCTCAGTGCAGACAAGAAAATATGAAATAAATTATTTTCTGTTTTAATCATATCATACCTAGGAACAACAGATAAATCCATCTCAATAGAAATGGTATAGAAAATAAGTTTTTTTTGGCAAGTATCAGTTGAAAGAGGAAAAGGAATGGTGCATGAATGAACGGAGCATAAATTGTTTAGTAAACCTACCTCACCCAAATACTTCTGAACAAATTCTGATCCGACGACCCTAATAAAAGCAGCGGTTGTATGATTTGCCACAGCCTTAGCAAGCATGGTTTTGCCTGTACCAGGAGGCCCATAGAGAAGCACACCTCTTGGAGGATCTATACCTATCTGTTTGTAGAGCTCATGGTGTGTAAGAGGCAACTCAACAGCCTCACGAATTTCTTGCTTCTGGATATCACAGCCTCCAATATCCTACGAAGCAAAGGGAGAGTCCATGTAAGAACACTTTCTTCAGGATTAAAGTAATGGTAAAGTAATGGTATTAAGAAGGGAAAGAAACTTATAATTGAACACATGACAATCAATATGAGGGTAGCAAAATATATCGGTTCATAAAAATATTGTATCAAATAGAAATTTTATCAAGCATCTGCATGCAAAATTGAGTCTAACAGAGTAACATAATGATGTACACTATTTGAGGCGACAAGGAACTGAAAAAGTCAGGTAAAAAGACTAAAAGGTTAACAATGTCCCACCCCCCACCCCACGGGGGGTGGGGGGAGGGAAGGGGGGTAACACGTAGCTTCTACAATAGCATGTCCATCCATCGCAGCACAAAGTGAAGAAAGGTGGTCTATGTTAAGCCAGACATGAAGATTTGAATAGAAGTTGTAATTGCTGTTGTTAGTATTGTTTTTTATGAAAGGGACGTAATATCAAATAATTTCCCATGAACAGACTACTAAAATATGTAAATGTCATGGAGAAACCTTAGTATAGCACTTATTATTCCTTGGCTAGATGATTGTTTCAATGAACTCAGAATGAGAGAAGGTAGAACTGCAACTATGCAATGAAGAAGACGATTTCTTCAAAACACAAGCTTCACGTTCTTGGGTTCTTTAAGAGCAGCTCCTGCCTTAAGGAACAAATTGAAATTCCTCCCAGGACAGTTGTCTGACATCCTCTATTACTTCCTTCATTCTAAAACACAATTTCAATGCTAACCGTTATTGACAATCAGAAGTACAGGGTTAAAAATAATCAAACTGTGGTCAAAACCAGCTTTTGATACAACAATATGCTCACCTATAACCAGTAATTTTTTTAATTCAATAAAAACTAAACGAAAATATCCAAATCTTACACTTCAAGAAACCTTAAAAGTATAGTTTCAACTTTCTTACAGCCCTGAGGCAGAAACCCTAGATTTCTATAACCAGTTTCAGAAGAAAACTGATTCCAGAATTCGTTCATTTAAAAACCAAGACTCCACGAAACCGAGACAATTATGTCACCATGCGAACCCTAGATCTCGCGAAAACCCTAAAACCAACAACAATCCCAAACAAAAAGTTAGGGTTTGAGTTCCGAAACTTACATTATAAGTGACATCTGGCTTCTCGCTCTGACTCAGCAACGAAATACTCGAGTCGGCCTCCGGCGGCAGCACATCGACCAACGCGTTCGAGTGCCGATGAAGCGCCACCGAGGCGCTCGGCTTCAACAACTCCCGATTGATCGTGCTCAAGATCCTCACGTAGTAATTCGATCCAGTCGTCGACCCGACGATTCCGTTGTTCTGATCGACCATCTCCATGAACTGGCCGATGACGAGAGGAACCGACTGGATCCGCTTGACCTCCTCCTGGGCGCGGAGATGCTCGCGCTTGAGGTTCTTGAGCTCGTCCTTGACGTACTCCTCCTGGATGTCGATGAACTCGATCTCGCGCTGGAGGGATTTGAGGACGGAGTAGAGGTCATCGTCGGCGGTG